TTCCTGACAGCACAGGTAGTCTCTGACAAGTGCAAACCGACTACTTTCATACTACTCCAGAAATGAGTCAGTGAGCAAAATTTTCAACGTGTAGTCAGATACAGTTGACTGATTGGTGATGCGACTGAATTCGTTCAATTAAATTTGCATGATTGTGGCTATTGGAAAAGGCAGGAAATAGAATATGCATTGTCTCAGAAAGCAAAACGGAAAGTAGAATTCTTAAAGTTGTGAAAAAAATATTCTTCATCAAAGCTGACCGTTGCGCCAGATCCATCAGTCACTTCCATTTCTTAGAACAGTCAATAATTCCTAGTGGTTTAATTATTGTAGTACAGGCTGGATTTTCAAAATGATGTTCTCGATGATCATCTAAACAATACCATTCTTAAATTGATGCTTAGGTACTATCACGCTGAACGGTTGGCAGTTTCAATGACTTTTCTCCCCAGACTAAGGGCTCTCCAGCAGGATGAAAAGACGGATGGTTGTGACCGGTTTAGTGGAACTCCTCTTTATCTTTTCTGAAAATAATGCCAGACTACCCTACGTTAATGAGGATCGGCCTCACTTCAAGTGCATTCTCTAACTTGTCAGACATTCGGCTGAAAAAGAAATATACCCCTCCATTAAAGTTCACTTGCTGCCTATCTCCATTAGATCATCGTTTCAACTAGGCAAAGAGTAGCCGTTCTTACGACGGGCTAAAAGCTACGGCTGAACATCCAATTGCCACACTGGCAGGATCACGTGATGGATAAAACTCTTCTTTCGAGTGTTTTCAACATGTTCCGTTTTCTGACCTATTTTCATTACGGATGTGACATAAGTAAATGTAGACAATCCTAATGCCATTTTCCATTTTTTCCATTTTCTGCCTCCATTGATGAATGAATAGCTTGACCACCACATCCCATCGAATCCTTGAACGACACAGTGGATGCTTGCGGTCCAGATAAATCCAGTTTGTAACTACTGGAGTCCACCGGTTACCTCTGAAATGAGCCACACAACCGATCGAACTTCTCATGGTATCGCAGAAGAAAGAAATTACATTTATTCATCCAGCGTTTGTCGAATTAGTGTGCTTGGAACGTGATACCAGAGAGATACCTTGCACATTCTTGGTCCAATCTCTCTTAACGCCATCATCAGTTTATTTTCTTCAGCATTAGTAACAAAACTCCATTCTGTTTCGAAGATTACGACTGACAGGAGGGTGGAATCGAACAGATGTATCTATGCCCGCAGGGAAGCTGACTGTGAAGCGATGATATTTTAATATGACTAAAGTTGGTACACGCTGTCGAAATTCTTCTGCTGATTTTTCCCTCAACTGAATTAGGGTCAACCTGACAGCTGAGTTATGCTGAACCGGTTGTTTCGCTGAGTTCTTCACCATTCACGAGGACAGGGCTTTTGGAATTGGTGTTCGATCCGCTTCCACTTCGTATCAGATAGGTTGATCTCTAATCCTATGGAGAGCGATTCTTCTTGCAATTGCTGGGTCTTCCGTCGAAGGTGATGTAATAGACATTAAATTAGGAGTTTGACCCTGTTGAACAAACCAACTGCGCATCGACCCTTTACACCAGCTCACAAATCCCTGCATGGTACCGGCATAAATGCAGGTGTAAACAAAACGGCCATCATATAATACGGATGAACATCGCATAAGCAGATCTACGTTCAGAACGGATCTGCGGTTTTTATGATACATTAACCAGTGCATTATAGCAAAAGTGTGGAATAGCTCAAAGTATGTCAGAATTACAAGTCAGGAACTTCATAGCCACGCCTTCGACTCCAGGTGATGATCAGAACCGATATATCGTCCATGCACATGTCCTGGTTTCAGGCCATTTCGGAATAAATCGTTATCATTAATAGACGGTTCATGAATGATGTGCGTGTCTGTATTTAGCGAATGCAATGACTCCTATCCTCTGTACAAATGGTCGAGGACATTGAGAACAATTTCAGTCCATGTCTCTGCTCAACTTTTCCTTTCTCTTAATGACCAACGCAGCGTACATGATGATTTTCCTGATTAATTTCCTGATATTCCATTGCTGTCATCTAAATCTTCTTTTGGTCCAGCTCATGAGCGATTACCTCAGTTCACAGGGCACATGTTTTGATGCCAAACTTTGCCATGTTTTCTTTGGCAATCACTTAGTCGTTTATTGCTTGTATTTGTAATAAAAGGGTGTTTTGCTCAGTAAATGCACCTTAGAAGCATAATGATCGTTGCTGACTCCTGATTACCCTTGTCTGGCCACTGAAATCTCTGTGGTTGATTTTTGTCGCTGACAGTTTTTCATGATACAGACTCGGATACAGCATTTGCGGAATGCTCAAATACGTGGTATTCCATCAACGATCTCTGCCCCACCGTTATTTACAGCAGAAAATTATCATTCTACGTATGATGCCTCAGTGTACGAAAAGTTTAAAGTTTAATTTTTTACAATCACTATTACTCATCCCGACTCGCCCCGCCTCATTCGTTCTAGTAGCCTAGGGGTTCGTTTGAGTACGCCAGGAAACCGTAGTAAATTTTTGCACCAGTAATGAATAGATGCCAAACTGCACCACTTTATTGGTTAGGACTGAAATCTGTTCGAACAGAAATGGATATACCTCTAGTTGCTTTAATTCATCAGACTGCCCACATTTCAAATTTATGCTGCAGACAAGGCGGGAAACTCTGAATAGAAGTCTTAGCGACTTCTCTATTTTCCATATTAATTTTCTCGTATCTAAATATGTTTCTTGCGATCAGTAGCTAGTTACTGCACTCGATCTAATCAGAAATAACGTCGGTGAAACTAATCGGTAGAGTGTTTGCTTGCCAGAAATAAATCTATACCTTCGTTATATGCAGTCATTAAATCGATAGTACCCTCGCGTAGAGGCCGAATGTCGACTTTGAAATTCGACCGTTGCTTAGGCAGGATCTAAAGAGCTACGGCAATCAGCCGACAGTGTATCAATTTACCGTCACATTCGGAAACGAGACATCTGCACAAATGTTTATGGACGGACCGGTTTTACAGCTCTAGCATTGCCAGATGCACAGATCAGCCCACCGGTCCAATGGATAGTGGAAGTTTCTGGACGAAGTTTCCAATGACCCATGATTATCTCATTCAACCACTTAATATTTAGGATAGTCGCCTGGCAAAATTTTCAGCTCCTGGTTTTAGATACTGTGTCAAACAAGTAAAAAGACTAGTGTTCGTTGTTGGTATAATTCCCTGTGGCAAGTTTCGAGGGCCATCAGTGTGTCTGTACCACCGCTAAGTTTCACAAGTTTGCTCTGACGATCGACTAGATGATGACGCACAAAACAGTGATTTTCTATCGCTTATCATTTCTAAAATACTAAGTCGTGACCGTTTCTGACGTATTTATGAAACTACCATGAAAATGATATTAATCGTAAGTTAAGGTCCATAGTTTGTTCATGTTCCTATGCTGTCATAAATCCGCTCTCTCGTTTAGGAAGGCAACAGCACCTTAGCTGTGGGACTCAAGTCAGGCCAGTAAATGAAGCGCGTACTCCTGAGTAACTGGCAGCCATGAATGCATGTAATGTACTCAAATTGAGTAACGAAACAACGGCAGCTGCAGCAAAGCGAGTTCTTAAATGTTTCTGCATTAAGGGATGAGGTGGC